GACAGTGAACAGGCGCGCCTGAGTAAAAGAGGAGGTGAAGAGAGAGAGAGAGAGAGAGCGCCTGCGTATATATATATGTTGTCGTGTTGCATCTTCTGTGGGGCTGGTGGATGGACCGATGCTCATGTGTGCGTGCGTGTTACCTCATTTATTCTTTTCTTTTTATCTCCTTCACTGGTTTCCCTCCCTCTGCACTGCCACCACATGCATGCGCCCACACAAAAACACACGAAAAAAGTTGTGTCGTTGGGAGTATTTAGGACAAAATGTTGCGACGTCTTGTTAGCGGTCACAGCTTTGGCGTTGGTAGGAGTGCTGATGGTGGCTGTGGCTGCTGCCGATGTCTCCGTCGGGTCAATGAGGAGCTGCCTGTGTTTTACTCTCTCACGCTGCAGCGGCGTTTCTCCTTCAAGTACGCCACGAAGCTGCAGCATGATGAGATGCGGCAGCCGTTTTACATACACGAGAAGCGGCATGGCGTCTTCAGTAACGAGCAGAACATCAGGAAGTCGCGTCGTGGTTTGCCTTTTATTACTCCACTGTACACGCGTCACATGAATCTGTGGGAGACCGACACGGACGCATCCAACAATCGCTTCTTTAGAGGGTACGTCTTCGGCCAGCGGGAACTGCATCAGCTGCTCGGCCGTCCGCACGGGTTTGAGGCAAACAACACGGACGGCAGCAATAACATTTCCGACTATGAAATGTCGACAAACCAGCAGTTTAAGGGTCTAGCGCGCCCGGCGATAGCAAATCTGCACTATGAGCCAGAGTGGAGTTACACGCTTTATCGTGCTGGGGCCCACGGGGCGCAGCTCTCTAATCCCCGCAGCCCACTAACGGCGGAGGTGCTTGGGGATGAGTTGCTGCAAATACGCGATATTAAGAGCCTGGAGCACTGCAAGGCGTGGTTTGCACGTCTGCAGTACCTCATTAAGCTCCATTACGATGCGGTGGGGGACATTGGTGAGTTCAAGTCACGTCATACGCAGCACGTGCATGAGTTCTTTGTTGCCTTTCACGATGCCTTGAGTAGCTTTGACTTTGGCGACGCCTATCTAGTTGAGCACTTCAACGCCGCTCGACCGAGCGAGTTGCAGGATCTCTTTGGCATCTTCCTTGAAATGGAGGCGAATTACGTGCACGAGGGATTCTGCCCACGCTGCAGTCTGCCGTACAACACAACGCGTTACTGTGGTGAGGGTGACGCGAACACGCCATTCCGCAAGCACCGTGGACGGTGGGCGCCGCATCAGCGGTGGGGACGTGAGTGGTACACCGTAGTAGCCCGCCGTGCGGAGGCGCTGTGGCACCGCGCAACCGAAGACCCTTTCTTTGGCGCCCCGCAGCACACCCAACGTCAGGCAGAGGCCTTGTTGCATGTCTACGTTCAAACGAAGCATCGGGGGAAGGCAATTGACTTTATTAACGCGCTGCGGGGGAGCAAAGAGTTTTTGATGGGATACATACACATCACGCCAGAGATGCAGGCGTCGTACGACCGTCTGCTTGATACAACGCCGCATCCGCATCTTCTCACAAATGGGTTTGCCTTGGAGAGTAACGCGGCGAAGTATACAGGGGAGGTGCAAAAGGTGCCATTTTCACCCCTGCAGTTTCGCATTGATATGGAGATGAGTAAATACCGACGACAACAAAAAGAAGAAGGAGCGGTGCGTGTGCCACCCGCCATGTGGCGCCTTGACACCTCCGCAATAGTGCCGTACAAGCTGGATCCCAGAACAAAACGCGTTATCAACTGGCGTGAGGTGAAGGAGGGGATTGAGAAGTCGTTCCTGTCAACAGGGCTTCCAAAAGAGGCATACACAGGTAGTGAGTGGCGGGAGATGTTGCATCTGGAGGCTGTCATTGCTGGCCGCGCGGCAAAGGCGGCAAAGCTGGAGCGACAGCTTCACGCAGACAAGACTAAACTGCTGGATGCTGCAGCCACACAGAAAACAGCCTCTGATACAGCTGTGAGTACCCACATCGCCAGTATTATCTTTCCAGACAAGGACGGTTATCAATGCTTTGATACACGTGTGGCGTCGCTAAAACCTTTTGGAGTCAGTCAGTCAGGTGCTGTGTTTCAGTGTGTCACGCATGCATACCCCTCGCCTAGCGCCGTACCGTACAATGATCCAGTGCATGGGAAACAGTTTCTCCTTGACACAACACGTGAGGCGTGCCACCTCTTTGGCGGCTTTGAGCATGGTGATCGTCTTTTGCTTCGTGCAAAGGACAATAGTGACAAAAAGAAGTCAAATACGACCAGTAGTGCTGTGGTAGCAAAGGGAAACGAGTTTGAGGTCATTGTGATGGGGGTCAGCAAGGAAGGTAGTGACTCGGAATGGCAGCTGTGCGCCATGCACGTGGATTCTGCGCAGCAGCGGGAACATGGGATTGTCTTCCTTGGCACGGATTGCGTCGACATACGTGCACGGTGGGCGTCGGTGCGTTACGCTGCCGCCGCATCGCATGTGAAGGGACGTGTGACACTATTGGAGCCGCAACGCACCGCACGTGAGGAGTCCTTGGGACAAATAGTCGGTGTTCGCGATGGTGTCTTATTCGTGCAATGGCGTCTTCTGCGAGGTGGTGGCAGTCAACTGGACCGCAGCGTTGCCGAGCCGATTGGCACGGCAGAGCAGGTGCGGGACGCCTACACCCTTACAGAGCAGGGTGTGGAGGAGTTACAGCATCCTCCGTCGTGGCGTACGCCGTTTCGTAACGATTTCGCGGAAGAGCGGCTGGAGGAACTACGGCAGGCACCTTTTAAACGTGAGAAGTGGGCCTCCCTCGTCCAGGGACGCTACACAGCAAAGCGTAAACGGTTTGGATACACGCAACACACCACCGTAGATGACTTTGAGACGAAGGAGTACAAGGATCGGTTGCTCTCAAAGCAGTTCTTTCATAACCCGCAGGCCTTTGAAGTTATCCCGGATCGCCGCGAACGGGCTGTGACGTTTGGTGGTAAATGGGAATATCAGCGCACGCAGGGACTCCCAACGGTGGATCGCAATGAACTAGAGAATGGCTGGAGTGAAGTGGAGGCGGTAACGGATGCAGAAATGCGTGTGATTGAGCAGGCACTGCGAGACATCAGCGGTAGACGACCAGGGAACTTTATCAAACCACCCACGAAAACGAAATCGTTGCAGTTAAATGAGAGTTGGTGGGAGCCGCTGGAGTTTGGCTGGGATCAGCATAACAAGGAGCAGAAGGCGTTGGTGGATCCAACGGAGCAGCGCCTGATAGACAGTTCAACCCTCCCATTTAGTGGCAAAATCCCACCCTTTGGTACCACGAATGGTATTGGAGAACGCATACGTGAAATCGCGGAGGATTACGCCAAGGGATTCGGATTGGGGCCACATGGGCACTCCCCCTCACACGACACAAGTCATTACAATACCCTCAATGCCGAGGATGACAGGGTGCGAGAATTGGGCTACCAGGATGCGCTTGTCCGCCTGTTTAACGAGAAGCTTGCGGACACGGATGTGCATCAGTGGGCTGTGGAACAATGTGCTGACGGAGAGGCCGATGTGCGACGGCTGCTGCTCTCGCTGCACGAGTGGCGTGAGCGCGGACGACCTCCCTCCCTGCTGCTGCTGCAGGTGCTTTCTAAATACCTTGAACAGGAGATTGCGACGTTCAACGCGGGAATTCCAGCCTCCGTGCCCAAGCTGTCGCTGCAGACCGTGGACGGCATCTTGTCCCCGTCTGGCAACAACGGAGAGCGTAGTGGGACGATGTGGGCGGATGTGGAGCCCACCGCGTATGCGTTGCAGTCCGCCAGCCAAGCCAGCCACGGCAACGTTGATGAACCTTTTATTCTTCACTTGCTGAAGCGTGCTAAACTTGAGAATTCCAACGCTAATTTTACCGATCCGCTCTACAACGCACACCTTGAAAACTCCGTGGTGAGCGAGTTCCAGCTTGGCCTCGCGGCGTTAGTCGGCAAAGGTGTCTCACCGACTCTCCTTGCCCACAAAACTAGCCAACTACACCGCGGTTCCGTGCGGATGAGTGGAAACGTCATTCCGTTTGTCAAGAGCCGAGAGTTGGCGCGCTTGCTGGAGCGTATGGGACTCTCGTCAGAGAGCATTGCCGTTGTAACTCGTGGTCTCGCCAACTGCCCGGAGCAGGAGTCGGTTGGGGATGACTTTATTGTGCCTGTTTCGCTTATTTTGTCCTGGGCCGGGCCGGGTTCAGGTTTGTCTGTAAGCGTGGCGGATCGAAAGGGCAATGCGACACAATCGCGTAATGAGCAGCATCGCAAAGGTTCTGCCGCACTTTCTAGTGCAATTCGGCATCTGGGGCAAAAAGCGCTCCGGTACGAGGAACTCGCAAAACGAGGACAAAATGATGGTGCACGTCATCGAGGAGCTGTCGCTGCAGGATGATGGGCTCGTGATGGATATTCAATACATTGCGCGGGAAAATAAACGGAACCCTGTTTTGAGGCAGGAGTTCTTTGCGGCACTTCTTCCTGTCTTTGCTGGCAATCATGATAAGGTGGCGCAGCTCCACGATGACTATTGTGAAGGCAAGTATGTACCCAATATTACACTTGCAATTGAGGCATTCATCGCATTCCTTTGTAACGTCACCAAGCATGCGGACGTATACTCTGGAATCTCGTACTTTGACATGGGAGACCCGAATGGTCCACAAGCTGGGCAGTACACCTCACTCAAACTTTTAGACCCGCTTGATGACCCATTTGTCTTTGATAATGTCAGGGCAGAGCGCATTGAAACGGTAGAACGATTTAGGCAGCATGACATTCAGGTTGGACCAGTGCGGGCCCCTGCCACTGGCTTCATCGCCGCAAACTCAAAGTCCTTGAACTACTTTACACACCGTCCTGAGGAGGTTGTCTACGTGTCGACGGACGCGGACCAGGGCCTTTTCCGGTCGTTGAAAAAGTCTGCACACTACAAAGCGATCGCCGCCAACCCGGCAATGCAATTTTTGCTTCACGCACATAATGGTGCTGGTGTTGTGGCAACTTTCAACCGCTTTTTTTACCGCACCATGCCGATGCTTGCTTTTTATCAGAAGCTGCTGAAACACTACACAGAGAACGTGCATTCGCTGCGACAGACGGCGCAGAATAGTGTACGTGGATTGGCACGTGTGTTGGAGAACGAACGCTCCGCTGCCATCGAGGAATTCAGACGCAACAGTGAACGGTACTGGCGGAACGTTTTGGAGGGCCGCAGCGTGGAGCAGGCCATGGGTGGAAATGGGGGTGGTGCTGGTGGTGGTGGTGGTGGTGGTGAGAGAAGCGGCAACGGTGCCACATCCGCCATGACATCTGCAACACCATCGTCTCAGGGAGCCATTGCTGGGGACGTCGCCAGGGCCCTTGGCGGTGGCCGAGCAGACGATCAGAAACGAGGCACGCAAACACAGCAGCAGCAACAAAAAACGGATAGGGATACTGGCAGTGGTGTCCGCACGACGTTTTCTCCACGCCAGGGCGGCTCACGCAGCATGACGGACCTGCTGTCGAAGCTTAATAAACCGAAAGGGTCAAGTAGTTCGGGCACCGCGAAGGGCCCGACGAGGCAGGGCCCGGCCAAACCTCCCGCTAGTGGGAGCCGTGGGGCAAAGCCATAAGAGTGAGAGCAGGTGAGAGGGGGAGAGGTGGGGTTGTTGGGGTGGAATATTACAGAGGAACACGATGCAGGAAAAGCGAAAAATGGAATGATGTTTCCTGTGTGTGTGTTGTTTTTTTTTTTTTAGTTTTGCTTGTTATTGATAATGCTTTGCGTGGTGTCTCCAAGAACACCCAGAGGCATATACCGACATACGCATTTAGGACAAGAAGATTTTTGTGGGGGATGGGTGAATGCGAAGCCCAAAAGACAAGGAGGTGTTGTGAGGAGGTGAAGACCGCATGTCCGTGAGCGGCGTGGGAGCGTGGGGGTGTTTGCATGTGTCAGCCGCGGCGTGTGGCTTCTCCCGTGCGCCATGTGGTGGGTGGTTTACTGAATGGGCCAGTTAACATTCTCCTCCTTGAGGTGGTGTCATCGATAGATTTCTGCCTCGCCATTTATTCTTGTCTCCTCTCTGTCGAGGTAAATGAAGGGCATCCGATCTTGTAGTCTCCCCACATGTCTCTAGAGTCGCCAGTGCCATTCGTATACACACCCCGCTTCTGACGGTCTATGTGTGCGTATATATATTTATTTATATATTTATTTATTTATTTATGTATATATATAACAGGCAAACACATACACAGACACATTATTAACCGATATTTCCCACAACGTGGGTGATCGAACACGTAGAATAAAACAATAAGAAGGAGTGGAGGAAAATAAATAATAAGTCCTTGAAGTGTATCGATCGTGGTGACATTAGGAGAAACGAATTTCTCCATAACTGTGAATGTCGCTTTCCTTCGCTCAAACTAGCATTAGTGGCAATAGAGAGGACAGTGACGGTGACTGTAGCAATGACAAACGTGTTGACTGTTCTCGCATTCACGAGTCAGACGCGTTCTCGTGGCTGCAGGATCGTTCCTCAGTGGATGACCTCTGGCCCGGTGTGGAGAGTTACCTCGTGCAGGCGGCCCATACGATACGCACCGGGAGCGCTGAAATGATGGACCGACTGCGGGATGTTAAACACCGCATGAATTGGTATGCTGCGATTTACTCTGTGTGCAGCGGCCACCCACAGAAGTCTGGCGAGGTTTACCAACACTTGTCGCTCTTCCTTCTGAACGACTTGGAAGTTAACGTTTTGCGGCCGTTTCTCCTACGAGGTGCCGCTTGTGGCTCATCGTCGTTGTCCTGTTTGTGCCAGCAGTTCGTGCAGCAGTACCGACTCTTCATGGCATTCCGCCGCGTCGTTCTCTCCTGCTTCAGCTACTTGGATCAGTACTTTACTGTGAAGTTTCGTCTTGACCCGGTGACGGCGTTGTGTGCAAAGATGTTTTACGTCGTGGTGTATGAACCCATCAAGGAGGTATTGGTGTCGGAGTTGCTGGAGTTGGCAGATGCCGCGCGGACGGCGCAGCTTCATGGCAGTGCGGTGTCGTCGGAAGCCAGTGACGTTCAACAAACCCTCTGGGCTATTGTGGAGATTTTAACCACAGTGAAGGCATTCTCAACCTCGTCTGAAGCAACCGCGCAGACGGCGCGGCCTCATCACAAGGAGGATGCCTCGGGCCTTTGCAACGACGTACATAACGGGGGCGAGGGGAGCACCGTGTTTGCTGCCGTCACCGCCGAACTGGAGCGCAGGCAAGGCCTGACCACGACGCCGAGGTGTGACGTTCTTCGTAAGCGGAGTGAATCGCCAGAGCCTCGTTTGGGGATAAGCAGCAATAGTGACCACGACCAAATGCAACGGCGGGTTGTTAGTGAAGGTCACGGTGGTGGCTCCTCAGCAAAGGGATGGGATGCAGTGGCAACAAAATCGTTCAATGCCATCCACATGCTGCGCGAGATGCTTAAAAAGCGATTAGCTGTCGAAGTGATAACGAGTCACTTGATAACAAACCCCAGTGGCAAGAAGGGCCTTCAAAATAGCGGCAACGTTCTGGGAAGTGGTGGTGGTGGTGGTGGTGGTGCTGCGGCGGCAACTACTACTGGTGGTGTTAGTGGGCGCGAAGGTGGTGCGACGTGTTCAGCGTATTCCGTGGGGGTTTCCATTGTCGACGTGGTACAACCGTTGCATTTTGTCATCTTTTTAGACTTTGGTGTGCAATACGTGGAGGCCGCCGAAATCCACTACCGAAAACAGCGTATGGTGCAGCTTAGCCAGCCCGAAGGGTGGATTGACTACATACCGTGGGTACAACGTTGTCTTGCAGTGGAGCGTGTGCTGCTGCGGGACGTGAACGCACCACTGTTCCTCAGTGCTCTGCAGGAGCGAATTAATCACGTTCTTCTGGTGGAGATCCATCGGCAGATTATTCTTGCGAAAGAAGTTGGCTTCCGTGCACATTTGGATGCGTGGGACAGGCACACAAAGCAGGGCGCTGCCAACATGTTGAAGGACCTCACTTCTTCTTCCTCCGCTTCGACGGGGGTGACAGTGTTGGGTGACGCTGGCGACGCCGATGCGGACGTTGCAAGATCCCCGGCCACGTGCATCTTAGCGCCGTCGACAAACCTGTGGGAACGATTCTCGCAAGAAGAGCTTGGAAACCGCATAAAAGGCTTTGTTACAGCTTTTCTTAGCGTGCAGGACGAGGCGTGCTGGACCTTGCTGGCCAGCGAGTTTGCGAGCAAGGTGTTCATGGACACTGCCGCCTTATTTCTTGCTTACATGTCACAATTGGGGGCGTTGACACAACAGCAACAACACCACCAGGAGGAGGAGGCGCCGCCGAGACTGCGGCGGCCCGCATCGTGGCTGCAGACGTCTCAGTGGACGACGGCCCTGCCTCTGAGACAGAGGGGCCTGGCAGAAGCGGGGGAAATTGTTCCATCGGAGGTGAAGCCTGTGACGCAGCAGAGCTTGGCTATGGGGCTTATTAGCGACCTTGTGGATGTGTCGATGCATTACAGTGATCTCATTTGCACGAAGTTTGGTGAGCACCCACCGATGCAGCTGGCGATGGCTGACGCGCTGCGTGAGGTGCTAAACCCAGAACGATGGAGCAAGCTTGTGGTGGGAGGCGTCATGCGTGGCGGGGTTTCTGCTCTTTCCAGAGGGGAGTTGCCGAGCTTTCTTCTTTACCATGACGTGGCGAAGACAACGCTGGGGGTGCTGAATAAATTGACTGCCATGCGTGGAACAAAGGAGATTGCTGTGCCGCAGTTCCTTGCCATGTACTGTGATCAGCTATGCAGACGGGAGCTCGACGACGTCGTCACAGACCCCACAGACCACATTGTCTACCTCATCGCGCTCTTGGACGATAAGGATGTTTTTTTCGAGCACTATAAATCACTTTTGGCGCGTCGTCTTTTGCTTTTACCTTGGGCGAAACTAAATATGGATCGGGAACATGCATTGATGCATAAGCTGCATCATGCCCTTGGACGCGCACTGACCTACAGGCTGGAGGCCATGTTGCGAGATTATGAAGCGAATACGAGTATGAATGAGGAATTTGGACGATTTAATGTTTGCTTCGCATTACCGGCAAAACTGCGGGTGCAGGTCCTTACCGCAGTGCACTGGCCGACCTATCGCGTGGTGTCCCTCACCCCATGTGATTCGCTTGCCCGCGTCATGAAGGCTTTCACGGATTACTACATTGGGCTACATCCATCCCGTATGCTGCACTGGATTCACACACTCGGATCCGCGACGCTTCACGCCGTGTTCCCCAAAGGCAGCAAGGAAGTGATCGCCAACACTCTGCAGGCACATATACTTCTTTTGGTAAGTGACGCATGCAACGCCGGCGGAAGTATTGCGGCGGTCGGTCCTGAGACCAATGCGGACCAAACGACTGCAAAGCGCCCGCGTTTGCTTTCTGGTCGAGAGATTTCCGCAGCGATGGGAGTCGAGTTACGCGACATTTACATCTACCTTGCCCCACTCGTACAACACAAACTCTACAATCTTCTGAAACGCGTGGGCCCGTCAGCTGAAGCCGGCGCAGGGCCAACAGCCCCACCCTCACCACCATCGTTACTTCCCTTCACAGAGGATGTGGCGCCGGCTGCCGTTACTGCGGCTGGGCGACTGCTGCCAGAGGACAAGTTCACACTGAACGTCGACTACACTCACAGGCTGCGCAAGTTCAAGCTCCCCGTTGCACGTCCCACGCGCGGCGATGGGTCTAAGGGATCCACGTTTGACCCCACGTATGCAGAAAGGAGAGAGACTGCTCTCTCCGGTGGAGTTGAGGTATCGCGGCGACTTCAGACGGATACTGCCATTGTGCGCGTCATGAAGAGCCGGCGTGCCCTGCGGTACTACGAGCTTCTGGACCTGACGATTCAACAGCTCGCAAAATATTTTGTTCCTCGTGCACGATCCGTAAAGATGCAGGTGGAGGATCTTGTCTGTCGCGGCTTCCTGCGGCGAAGCGAGGTCGACGCCTCCGTGTTTGAGTACATTGCGTGAGTGGGGGGGGGGGGGGGTACGCACTACCGTTTTGAGGGGCAAAGGAAAGTCAAGAGTCAAACCAAAGAAACTCTCACTGATGTGATGGAGGGCGGGATGAGAGGTTGAAAAGCAGGCAGAACAGTCGATACCTTTTCCCCTTTTTATTTTTTTGTTTTCTGTGGTTGCCTCGGCTCACGCTTGTTTGTTTGTTTGTTTGTTTTTTTGCTCTGTCCGTGTGTGTGTTGCCCCGGTTTCCAGAAATTACAGTTGATTTTATGTCGTGTTCACTGCTTGCGTGGTATTTTTTTTTTTTCTTCTGCGGTCTCATTCTTGACGTTCTGTGCAACTGTGCGAGGCGTGTGAAGACTCCAACGCCGGGAAGACGTCAGCTCCTCCATTGTTGTCAGTGACTAGCAAATGGTTTGTATATGAATTCTTGTGTGTAGATGCGTACCGCCGCCCCCCAGCCCCCCACCCCCTTTTTTTAATTATTTGCATCCCTACCGTTATTCTTGCTTCCGCTGCCGCCGTTGCTGCTGTTATCCTCAACGCCGCCATCGTTGGGAATTGCCGTGGAGGAAGCGGGATAGAGGCAAACGGGCAGAAGGGGAGTTCGCAGCGTATGGAATAGGTATACATTCATTCTCTGCTGCATCCAATTTGCCTTTTTCTTCTCTTTTTTTTTTTTTTTGTGGCGTCTCTTTGCGATTCGTTGCTGCTGGGGCGGTGTGCTGCGCTGGCCCTCACACACGCCGCAAATATCTCTCACTTCACGTGTGGAGTTCTTGTCGAGAGTGTTGTGTGCGGAGGCAGACGGATGCAGCGGGTACGGCTCCTGGTGTGCGCAGACCGCCTGCTGTGGACGGCGCGCAGGTATCTTATGAGGCGGAGTAAGACGGCGCTAAGGGGCCATGCAATGTCGTCAGGCGACTGCGGCTTTGTCGTACGGGAGGCGATTGCGCCGGAGATGGTAACTATTGAGATTCTGCCCGCTGCGGAGGAACACTGTTGTGGCCATGCAGGCGGTGGTGGCGGCAACACTAGTGGTGGTGTGAGCAGCGGTAACGTGAACTCTCACAGCCGCGATGAGGAGACGAGTTGGCGCAGCGCTTGGAGTGCCACACACGTGGCAGGGAGTCAATTGCAGCAGAAGCACTACTGGGATGTCACGAGCATTGACAACTTTGCGAAGAGCCGTGTACTCAACTACGTCCGTCGCACAGGGAATCGCTCTGCGGGCGTGTTTGAGGTAAGTGCAGAGCAGATGTTAGGGCGGACGGTGTACCGTGCACGGTGCAAATTACTTCTCCCACCACCGCACCACTTCTACGTGGCGGAGGGTGTTGGGGAGGATGAGAAGGACGCGGAGCTGCTGGCTGCGATGCATGCGGAGCGGGTGTGTGATGCATTAGGTGTTCCGCTATTCCGACTGCCGTCGATGCAGCAGAAGTACGCGGAGAATGTTCGGCGGCAAGGCCGTTACGCGCCGATGCCCGGTGATCCAATTAAACCAGAGAACACCATCGCCCCGCCACCGCTGCGTATGCTGGCGACAGCACCCGAGAGAAGTGGTGCCTCCGCGACGGACGCCGTTGAAGCTTCAACCGTGTTTTCCACCACCATCACGGAGGCAGAGATCATCACTGATACGAGTGTGATGGGCAAAGGTCGTGGCTGCACGTCCAAGCAGTCACTGGAACACGTGTCACCGCTTGCGGCTCCCACAAATCCCATTGATACCACCGCAACTGACACAAAGGCGGCCATAGATGCCGATCAGGCAGACATTAGTGGGGAGCCACCGTATCATGCCACGGTGCACTACCCGTGGCATTTTTTTGCTGCGTCGAGCAGCCATGGGGGAGATGCGGCGGCAGGAAGAGGAACGACAACAACGGCGATGGGCGGAGCAACAGCAGCAGCCAACACCGTTCCCTTTGACCCAACGGAGGGTGGCATGTGGCAGATGGTGAATACGAACTCCACACGGTGTTCCCCCTCGCAGGATGCCCTGTTACTTCCGTGTGTGTACGAGACGGCGGCGTACGAGCGGTTGAAGGACCACTTTCTGCATCAAGGCATGTCACTAAAGGACCACATCACTCTTTCTCACGTGGCGGTGCCTGGTCACTCCGCCAGAATGTATGTGGCAAAGCTGCGCCTTCATGATGGCATCGTTGCCCTTGGGAAGGCACAAACAAAAGAGTGTGCGGAACACCTTGCCACGATGCATGCGGAGTTGTTGTTGGACGCGCTTGCGCGCCCTTTGTTTCCACAAGATGACGCGCGTCAGGCGAGACATGCGGCGATGGTCGAAAGGTTTGGTCGATGGGCACCGAACCCAATCACCGGTGATATGCAGCACCCGCGGCCGCATGACGCGCTCCCGCTCCCGCTGAAGCAACAGGTGGGTGGCGATGAGGTCTGGCTTGACCCGCAAATGCTGCGGCGCTACAATTATCAGCGTAGTCTCGGGGAACGTCTCATTTCAGCACACAATGAGTTAAATAATTACTGTGGTGATTACATTGAGTCCAATCCTGATCCAGACCTTCTTGCTGAGGCACGGAAAGCTTTGGAGGCGTGGCAGCGTGAGGTCGCCCGCAATCCACACCCTGATCTATTCGTTATCACACGTATGGGCGAGCAGTTCCGTGCCAGCACACTACTGCCAGTGCCTAAAGAATTTGGTGTTCGCGGCGGCAATGCGGTGGGCAAGACGATGGAGCAGGCTATGGATCTCTGCGCTTTGCACGCGGTGGATACACTCTGCGCACTTGGTATTCCGCTCTTTGCGAACTCCTCGCGGCAGCATACTTTTTTGGAGCAGAGAAGACGCATGGGCCTGGTAACGATGGAAGACATGACGAAGCTGTCGTCAAGCAACGGGCTTGTCGCCATTCTGGCCCCATCGTTGGCGGAGGCAGCATCCAAAGCTCCATCGCAGGAGATAAAGACACGACCGCCGTACCTTCCCGGGTACATGGTTGAGGGCAACCAACCACGTCCACTGCCGCACATTAGTGACACACTATGCATTTTACAGCTTCGTATCCCCGAAGACTTTGACGTGTACGGCGAGAAACTGAGCGATGAGGCCATCATTGAGGCAGGTAACGAGGCAAAGGTGTGCGTGCAGAACTACCTGCGCCACCATCTTCCCAAGAACAGCAACGTGAATGCGTCTGTGTACATTACTGGTTACGGTAGACAAGTGAGTGTTCACAACATCGCGTATCTGCCGCTTGTGCTACCCAAGAAGGGTCGTTCCGCCCCTGAAGAGGCGACAAATGCAAAGCGAAAGAAGAAGAAATCCAACAACGCCACCGTGGATGCCTCAGAAGGGGCTGAGAGGGCTCAAGGAGATGACATCACATCATCTTTTGCTGCTGCCGTCACGAGCAATGACACCAGTGATAATAATAGCGATAACCATGGTGATTGTGTTGCGGCCATCACACAGTCGCACAATGTTGAGGACGCGGAGGACAGCGTGAAGAAGCCTACGGAGCGTTTATTGGCTGTTGGTATCTCGCTCAAGAAGAAGGATGCAGAGAGGATGTGCTATCTCCATGCTGTGGAACTACTCCGCAGCGTGGGTCAAGACGTGCTCTCCAACTACCGAGTAGGACTCCCGCGCCGCAAACAGCCACCTCCAACACCACAGCCATTTACCACGTCAAAGCTAAGCCATCCAGGTGGTGGTGAAGCGATCACCGCGAATGATGACGGTAACGGCATCGCTAGGGACAGTTCACAGCTAGATAAGATGACGCCCAAGAGCCCCACAGCGCCCCGGCCATATATTCACAGGATCATGATGCAGTTTATTACTAGTGGACGGCATTACACGCCTCCAAAACGGCGTTTTCAACCCAGCCCCAACTCGCCTTTTTGACAAACGTACACGAGGAGTTCCGTTGTCACTGAGTGCGTATGGGCAGTGCCTCCGTCGATGAGACTATGCTCCCTTTATTTCCTACACGGCGTGAGCGGGTGAGCCAGTGGAGGAAGAAAGGTAAATTGGCGTAGAAAGCGGAGTGAAGTGGAAGGAAAAGAAAAAGTCAATAAAAAAAAACAAGCGAAGGAGAAGAAGGACGAAGCATGTGAATTTTATTTGCGTCGGTTCTGGAGTAGTGACGTGGTTTTGCCCCTTTTATTTATTTTTTCTTCTCATTTTTTGGATGGAGGGGACCTCATTCACATCATATCTCTGTGCTACGCATCTCTCACAGAACGATAAGGCGTTTGGGGCAGGGGGACCGGGTGAGAGGGATCATCTGAAGGAACGAGCTGCTGGCATTCGTTGAATTCATGAAACTTTGCCCCATATATATATATATTAGTTTTTGTCTCACAGTTATTTTTGCTCCTTGCCATCTATCTGAGTTTTTTTTTCCGCCCATTTTACATGACGTGGAGGTACATTGTAAGAGTCTTGCTGTGTGTAGAAAACAGCAACAACAACAAAAACCGGGAATTGGTCTGCGTGCCTGAGAGAGAGAGAGAGAGAGAGAGGCCAAGTTGACGCATACATCTGCGCGTATCTTTGCACATAGATAGACTGAGCACATGAACCTTACAGCAACCAGCCGCCTTGGATGCACACTCACACAAGGCTCTACTGTATCCGGGACACACTATGCTAGTCATTCACGCCCCCTAGAACGCACATCGTGTTGGATGGAGCTTGCCTGCTTTGGCGGCTTTCCGAAGGTTCCATCCCTCTCAGGCTCGATGCTCCAGCGGCGCCAGGACATTTTGGCGTCGACCAAGGGTTCCGGTGAACCGGAAATCATCATCCGCATCGAGTTTGAGTTGTTTGATGATGAGTCGCCCAAAACGTGTGCGAATTTTCGTCACTTGTGCGCAGGACAGTCCACAAGTCGTCAAGGGCAGACGTACTTGTACCAGGGCCTCACGCCATGTTATCGCGGGACGTACTTTCACAAGATTATTCCCACCTTCTGCGCACAGGGCGGAGACTTGACAATGCGTGTTGACAGAGGTTCGAATTACTTCTCCAGCTTTGGCCGTGGCTGGTTTTTGGACGAAAACAAACGACGTCGCCTTAATGAAATTGGTCTTCTTCTTATGGCCAATAATGGGCCCAACAGTAACGGCTCGCAGTTCTTCATCACCACCTCCGACGTGGATGAAAAGGCGCTTAGTGGCCGTCATGTCTGCTTTGGTCGGGTTACGCGTGGCCTCGACGAGTTTATGAGTGAGGTGGCGCCCCACGGCGACATCAACGGCTACCCCTCGCGATTTGTAGTTGTCGTTGACTGTGGCGTGGGCCCGCTGCCGGCGACACTGGGCACCGTTAGCACCTGGAGAGAGGAGCAAAATTCACACGAGACAGGCGTAGACGAGGACCATACAGAGGTAGGGAATGAGGACGCTGAAGTTATGGCTGCTAGCGCCGTCAACGCTGCCGCACTAGCCGAGAGCAAGAAGGAAAATGGGGAGGAGGAAGAAGAGGAAACCACTGTGATGGAAACAGTCAAGCAAACGCCGACGATGAACAATGATAAAAATGTCACCCACATCAGCTTCAATGGGGATTGACGTTAATCCTGAGTGTAATCTACAGCACGATCGTCGCAAACGAAAATTTTGCTTGAGAAGCTATGTAATATGCATGTGAATTTATTGTCATTGTGGGGTGCATGTAAATGTGCGATGAAGATTTTTCATTTTTAGGCCTTTCTCACCACATTGAAGAAAGGAAGAAAAGAGAGAGTGTGCGTGTGCGTGTGCGTGTGCGTGTGCGTGTGTGTGTCTGTGTCTGTCGTGTGATGGAATGAGCACGTGTATTGTGAGGCCCCCCTGAGTCGTACACATACTCATCGAGTTGTGTGTAATGGAGGGAAAAGTATGTGCTGATGCTTTGAGTGACATGACACCAGTAATTCTCATCTCCCAATTTACCTTCTGTTTCTTTTGTTTATGTGTCACGTGCAGCATCAGGTGTGTCTCCTTGAGGCTAGAGGCATAAAGACATTATAACGAAAACACCCGAGAATGAATCACTCGCTTGACCCCCAAGCCACCTGGGATGACCAGGGTTTGTGGTTTGCGCTCGTCTTCAATGGCGTCGCACTTGCCGCGTTTGGAGGTTTTAGTCTTTTCCTCCTTGCCACACCATCCCTTTGGCTACGGCGCCTCTACTGCACCAACCACACCACAACTGTGACCCAGGGGTCAGGCGCGGCATCGCCAAAAAAGTCATCAGGGGAAGCATCACCCGTCGTCGGCACCGCCAACACATCGACTGCAGCGTTTTCCACCACTTCTCCCTTGCTTTCTCAACGCCGTGTGGGTTGTGTCTTGCCGTACCGTTGCTCGCTCTTTTCCCTTCCTCACTTGCGTGACTGGCTGAGCGTCGAGGAGGAGGTGGCGCATCTGGAGAGTGTCATTCAGCCAGATGCGACAGCCATTTCTTCTTTTCTTCAACATAATGAAGGCGGCACTGCGTCAAAACCAGCCTGTTCCATTTCTGCAGCAGAAAAAAGGACACGAGTGCCCTTTGATCCGCAGGTTGCTCTCTACCTTGCCTTCCTAAAGTTGTTTGCGACCGTATTTATTGTCAGTGGAATTTTCAACATGTGGATCTGCGTGCTCTCTGGGACAGATGACTACATAGAAAGCTACATGGCGCGGCGTGATATTCACCATTGTCGTCTGCTGTATAATGAGACGGCCTGTAGCGCCAAGGCCCCGTTTTGTCGCTACGTAGGGACGGATTGCTACCCGGTCAGACTTCCGGGCCTTTATGACCTCTCAGTGCAAAATATCTGGCCACAGAGCTGGCGTCTTTGGGTTGTGGGGTTTTTGGACATATGTTTTTCAGCCGTGTATGTTGTGGCTGTCCTGTTTTTTCTTCGGCGCGTCGATGCCTACATCACGTACGTAATGCGACTCCAGATGGAACACGCACTTGGTCATCGTGTGGCGGTTGTGCGAGGCTTAAATCAGGATATGATGTCCGATGCGAGCTTCCGTCAAGCGTTCCTTCAGGCTGGGGCTTACTTTAGACTGAGGGGAGGGAGCAGCGGCCAGGTTGTGAAGGGGGATCGGCCCTGCAATGAGGAGGAGGAGGAGGAGGAGGACGAGGCGCATTACCAGTGCGATTTTACAGGCTTTAGTTGCCTCTTTTCTATTCTTGGTTTCAGTTACTACAAGACCACGCGTAAGGATGCCATCTTTACGAAGGAATGCAGCGTGCAGCAGCTGCTTTTTCCCCGTGAGCCGCCGTCGGGTATGTATCGTACCATGGAGAAGACAGAGTCTGCCATGGAGGAGCTGCAGGAGGCGATTGCTGACCAAAAGCTATATTTAAGGAAACAACAAGAACGACTCTCAGATTTGTCTCAGGAGGAGGCTGGAATGGAGGAAGCTCTCATGATGCGCGCACCGTGCCCTTCGTGTTGTAGCAAAATTCCCAAGGTAGAGTTTAGAAAGAAAGCATTTATTGCAGAGGCCACACGGCTAAATCAATTTATTGATGACGCTGCTGTTGAAGCTAAAAAAGGGTCTGCCTTTATTATTTTTTCGGATGCGCTTGCAGCGTATGAGTTTGTGAACCTCTTTGAGTTGCGTCGTGGAGGTGTATCGGGGACACGAGCCACCATCGCAGGACCCCCAGATGACATCATTCATTTTAACCTCACGACAGATCGATACATGGGTTGGCTGCGAACGGTTGCGGTCATCATGGCCTTCACCGTGCTTCTCTTTTTTTGGGCTATACCCGTCGGGTTTGTCAGCTCCCTCAACAATCTTGCGTATATTCCTGGCATCGGTAAATCGGTGTTGAACTATTACATGAAAACACCTGAAGGCGTTCGGGGCGTCATTGCGGCGTTTCTCCCGGTTCTGATGTTGGGGATTTTTAATTTGGTACTTCCGTATGTTATTCGTGGCTTTGTGATTGCCATGGGGGTTGTGAACCGGGGTGAACTTCACGGTGGCGAGCTGTATCTGCAGTACCTCTTTATGGTACTCACGGGGGTTATTTTTCAGGCGGCGCTACAAGGTGGTATGTCTCAGCTTGCAGACCTAATTGCCGATCCGTCAAGTGAGGCAGTTATTAGTTTTTTTGTCGCCATCGTCAGCCCAAATGGTGGCTACTGGTACGCCAAAGTCATCACAGCAACCTGCCTTTCCACGTGGATGCAATTTATCGACCCCATACGGCTTATTGCGGCTCTACTGCGACGCAAAACTGTGAGTGTCCAGCGTGTCTACGACAGACTTTTCAGGGCAGACAATTTTGACTGGCCGTACTGTTACAGTTTTGACCTTACGATACTCGCGATGGGGCTTCTTTTCCACATGACCGTCCCACTATTGGCTGTGTTTGTGGGCCTCTACTTTGTCGTGCGGTACGTGACGCAAAGGGGCAGGTTATATGACCGCTACAGGCCGAAAACTGAGCCACTGGATGACTGTACGGTATTCACTGCTTCCGCTCAAGTTATTCGGGCGGCCACCTGGTTATACTGCCTTGGCGGCATTGGTGCAGTGCTGTTTATGAGTATGCGCAAACACGTGGGTGGTGTTGTACTTTGCTCCGTGTCCTTGGCGGCTGGTATTTTGCTCCTTGGGCGCGTTCACTCTGTGTCGCGCCACTGGGTGAATTCCCTCGCTAACGCACGGCGATTTCTCCGGCACAAGGCGGCGGTCCAAACACAGTACGGCACAATGGCTGGCTCGGCTGCAACACAAACCGGAGAGCAAAAAAATGACATGTCGGTGGCGCCGCCACCATCGACGAATGCTGTCTTGGAAAGCTGCACGATAGTGGAGCTTGCCACGCCGCCTTTGCCAGGAAACCGCGAAGGCGGTGGTGATGGCAATGGGGCCGCAACTGGCAGAAGCAGCCGCAACGGGGACAACCATAAGAATGCCGATGATAATAATACAAATGATGCTGCTAGCGGTGGTGCTACTGGTGATGGTGCTGCCGGTGCACGTGAGGGACCGACATCGTTTGGCAATCGTCTGAGGGACTCCAAGACGGAGCTGCTGCCGCATAACCCGAATGCCAATTCCCGTTACCAACCCGAGCACCAGCAGCTGATGCATATTGACGTGGAGCAAGTGATACGGAGTATGGAAGATACGGTGTTTCACGTCGAGCGCTACTGGAACTTCAAGTTCAACTTGCAGCATAATGCGGATGTGGCTTTTTAGAAGTTTTCCAGGGAGGTGGCACCCCCCAAATTGCACTGAGGTGTGACACGTGGAAGTAAACACAAAATAAAAAAAACAAAAAACAAATAAACGAACAAACAAACGAACAAACAAAAGAGATGAGGGTGCAACAAGACCCAACAGAACAGAACTGAGAGGTTTTCGTGAATGGTGGTAGACTGCATATGTTCGGTGGATGGGGGGTTAGGCGGTGGGAGACGAGGGAAGGTTAATGAATAAGTAGCGGGAGCAAGTAGAGGCAAAAACAAAACAAAAAATGTGCGGGATTGTGGAAGGTTTTGCGTGTCTGTTTTTGTCTTTTTGTCTTGCTTTTTCGTTTCACTCCTTCCCTTATTTTTTTTTTAAAAAAAATATGAAAGTGCTTGTACACGCACATACAGACGGACAAACAAACAGCGAAGGAGAAGTGTACGGCTAACTTTGTCTTGGGGTGGGGGTGGGGGGCAAAATAAATGTGGTGGGAGGAGAAGGTCGACATGTTTCTTTATGCGTGTTTATGTGCCCCCATCACTGTCTCTAACAGCCTTTTTTTTTTCTTTGTCTTTTTATCCCTTACTTTGCTTGGACTAGAAAATCACGTGAGTGACGGATAGAGAGTGAACGTTAAGAGCGACTCGAACTGTCAAGGGGGCGGGGGACGGTGGCAACAGCAACGAAAAAGGCCACGAATCGACAGAGTAACGGGGCAAGCGGAGCATTTTGACGGGTTGAAGGGCCAAAAAGGAATTCATTTCTGTATTTTTACCTACTCATGCCTGTCATTGCCGCTGGCGTGGTAACCAAACGAGGCCGCATCGTTCTTTCGCGGAGCTTTAATGAAATCTCGCGGATTCGTCTTGAAGGCCTTCTCTCCGCATTCCCGCGGCTTTTGGAGTCGTCCATCAACAAGCAGGTGACCTACATTGATGCCGGTGTGGTACGGTACGTGTACCAGCCGCTTGAGGAACTCTTTCTTGTCCTCATCACAACAAAAAACAGCAACATCGTTGAGGATCTGGAGACACTCCATCTTATGGGCCGCCTCATTCCAGAGTATGTGGACACGGTGACTGAAGCAACGCTAGAAGCAAAGGCGTTTCGTGTCCTTTTTGCCCTTGACGAAGTCATTGTTGGAGGCAAGCGGGAGAACACAACCTTGGAACAAATCCGGACGTATCTTGAAATGAACTCGCATGAGGAGATCATGGTGCGGGAGGAGAAGCGGCTGCAGATGGAGCGCGCGAAGAAGGATGCATCACGCAAGGCACACGAGCTGCGTGAAAAGCGACGGAAGGGGATGAATCCGTACAGCGGCATCAGCTCAGCCGATCCGAGCTACGATGGCTTTGGCAATACGAGTGCACCTGTGGTAGTCAGCGGTGGTGGTGAGCCTGCTATCTTGTCACATGCATTTGGAGGAATCTCGTCAATATCTACTGCATCCACTTCAGCAGCAGCACCGGCACCGAAGCGGGCCGGCGGGCTAACTCTTGGTCGTGCAAGGAAGGCGGATATTACGTCGCGGGTGTTGAAGGAGGCGGGGCTGTCATCGCCCACCAATGTCACTGCTGCCTCGGCGCAACAGTCATCAGCGTTAACCACAGGTGGCGAGGGAGGTTTGGATCCAAGGAAGGAGATGCGTGCGGGAGGCGTGGAGGGTCTACACATTGTTCTGGAGGAAAAGATTAGTGCCCAGCTGAATCGTGACGGGGAGGGCGGTGCGGTGGATATCCGTGGTGAGTTATCCGTGCTCGTCTCCGACCCGCAGTTGTCAAATGTGCGGCTTATACTTTCTCCCATGAGCAGCGATTTCTCGTTTCGTGCCCACGCCAAGGTGAACAAGGAGATATTTGCCGAAGACCATGTACTCTCCATGCGTGACAACAAACCGTTACCAGTACAACAGCAGGTAACAATTCTGCGGTGGCGTCTCATTAATCCTGATGCTGTGCGCCCGCCCATCATGCTATCGTGCTGGCCAAGCGCGGGGAGTATCACAGTGGAGTATGAATTGGAGAACACCAACACCGTCATTGACGCCCTCCACGACGTTCGCATCTCCTTCCCATTGCATGGTGCCAAGGCTGAAGCGGTAACCGTCTCCGTGGGCACCTGGAGCATCTCCAATGGGTGCGTTCTATGGTCTATTCCTTCAGTGGATGCCCATAATCACTCCACGGGCAATGTGGAGATTGAACTCGCAGATGATGGCGATGGTGCGACTGCGGGGAGTGAAGTTTTCTTCCCCGTAAATGTTAACTTCACCTCCAGCACGATCGTCGCAAAGGTGCAGGTGGTTGAGGTGGTGCAAATTAACAGCGGGGCCCCTGCGCACTTCAGTCAGGAGTCACGCCTCGTCGCGGAATCGTACACTGTTGCGGGATAGAGTGGAACCATTATTATGTGCGACGACCGGTTGGGGGAGAGGAAAATACGGAAGGAGAGGAGGAAGAAGGAGAAGTACGGAATAAAATGAACGCTGCCGATGTTGTGCGGCGGTTGCATTCATGAAAAAGAAGGAGAAGCAACTGCGTTTCGAATTGTTTTTGTTGCTTCTCCTGTTCCCTTCGTCTCTCTCCCTCTCTCTCTCTCTCTGTGTGTGTGTGTGTGTGTTCGTATCTTTTTTTTTTGCTTTTAGAAATTTTTATCTTTTTTCTTTAAAAAAAAAACTTCTTGTAGGACTCATTCTCCTCCTCCTCCTCCTCCTCACCACCACCACCACCACTGCATGCATGCATGCAAATAATATACGCATTTCTGCGTGCGTCACACGTCTTGGCTGATGGCCGTGTTGTTGGGCCTCCGTGCACGCACGCATCGAATACTTTTTTCTCCTCCCCTTCTTCTTTGCTTGTCTGGGTGCATTGCGTTGTGCCGCACAATACTCACACACAAAAACAACAACAAAAAGGTGGAAAGGGACCGGGGAGACACAACTCAGGAGACGCGAAAGACAGCATTACGCCATGGGTCGTTTCAAGCCACTCGCAGTCAAGAAGAAGTATGCGAAGAAGCTGAACCAGAACAGGCCTGTGCCGTACTGGATTCGCCTTCGCACGGGCAACCGCATCAAGTGGAACGAGAAGCGCCGTCACTGGCGCCGCACCAAGCTTCACTTTTAGAGTGCAATTGTCAGGATGGAGAGAGGCACAGGTGTGCGTGCAGCCTGCTCTGACTACGGCTGGCTGCGTGCGCTTTCTCATTTCTTTCTTTTCCTTCCTTCTCGCACGGGCGCCCCCTGCGGGAGAGGACTGACGTGTGGTGTGCGATGGTGCTGGCAGTGACGACGACGAGACAAGGATACAGATGACAATGGTAACGGACCCCCACCCACCCGTACGTGTGATTTTATTTTATTTTTCCCTCGCCTTTTCTTTCTTTTTCCGCCTTCAGCTCATTGTTGCCTGCTGCGTACTCGTGTTAATGTTTACGCACCCACGCGCACACGCCCCACTTTTCCTTCGCTAATGAATTTCCCATGTGGTGGGTGAGGCAGGCAGTGACGTGAGAGAAGGCAGGGAGAGGAGGATGATGACTGGGTCTCATTTTAAAATAAACACCACTAAAAAGAGCTTTACCGTTTCACTGCTCCCTTCCCTCTCTACGTGGGCAATGCGGCGCTGCAATGCGTCCGCCACACCCCCGTCTTATTGCACTTCGTGCCGTGCATGTACCTAATGCGAGACACACTACTTTTTGTCTCTTCTCTCTGTCTCTCTCTCCCTCCCATTGTTTTGTAGTAATAGGCCATTCCTTCTAATAGGGGAAGGTGCACCTGAGTCCGACGTGCGTCATTCTCTTAGTTTGTTTTGTACCCCTTCTCACCTCCCCTCATCTAACGTGGAAGACGATAACAGTCGATGAGGAGTGACAGAGGAGTTATTGGTTGATAAGATGGTTTCTCGAAGTGGTGCAGCAAAGCAGTCATCCTCGATGCATGAACAACTCCTGCAGCTTCTTCAGCAGCAGGTGGCTATAGAAGAACGGCTGAAAGGACAGCGTGTCCTAATGCAGCGCATCACGGAGGGGTTTGCGGTTCTTCGGGAACGGGCTACGCGCCACGCTCACCATGGTCTCTCCCTGCATGATCTTCTTGTGCTGGAGGCGTACGGTAGCATCAGGCCCTGCCGCAATGCAGCAGCACCGAGGAGGAAGGAAGAAGAGGAAGGGGAAGAAGATGATGACAGGAATAACCATGATGAGTCTTACTCTCTGGGGTCAGGCAATCCAGCGTGGCAGCAGCATCATCAGTTGCATGAGGCAAAGCGGGCGTATAGGTCATTTATACGAGCGCGTCTGTTGGATGAGGGATGCGCGACACCAGACAACCCTGTGCAGTTTCATACTCTTACAGCAGACTCTTTTTATCTTCTTCTCCCACACTTGACAGAGTTGTTGCAGGAGTTTGTGAGACTCACACCTGGAGCTGCTCAGACGGAGCCGCCTGATGGGTCTATTTCTTGCATGTGTTTACCGCAGCCGCCCTCATCGTCATTACTGTCGCTGCTGGGCTTGCTTTCTTTCACTTCTGTGACCGAGGAATGTGCGTCACTCGCTCGTGTGTTACGTTTTCTGGAACTTGGCTTAAAACACTTTTCAGAGGTACTTGAGAACAGTCATCTGCGGCCCGTTCTGGTGCAGAATTTGGTACAATTACACGCTGGTGGCAAAAACCGTGGACACACGGGCGAGGAGGTGGCGGTGCAGTTATGCCAGCGTGCAGGTGTGTTGTGTGAGCATCTCCGCCACCTCACTGTGGAAGACAGCCATAACTACGACGATGGGATTAATGAGCTCCACCACCACCACCGTGACCTTCATTGGACAACCCTGCAGTAGCAGTAACGGTGGCAGGGCGCACATGCTTGAATTTTTCCCTGCATGCCCTACCCAAAGGATGATGCCTCTACAGAAGGCCATGCATGCAGCAGCATTGCATCCATTCACCCAGACGTACACAGATAACATACATGTGCATAGTTTTTCTTTTAATTTCCTTTCCTTTGGGCTGTTGTCATTGACCTGATTATGTGGATACATTGAGAGAGGAGGAAGTGGCGGCTGGGTTAGTTGTGTGTCGTTATTATTATTATTTGTTTTACAGATTTTAAATACATTTTATAATTGTTGTTATTTCTGTTGGAAAATTAATCCTCCCACTCCCCCCCTCCCTCTCTCTCTCTCTCTCTCTCTCTCTCTC